GAATCAACCGATTTGCCACATACGAGTTAAAGACACTCTGATGTTCTTTGATGGCTATTGCTCACTCGTTGACTTTTGTCACTTGACTTTTAGGCATGGAGACATCATTTGGAAGCATCAGCCATTATTAAGGAGGAGGCAGACTTTCCAAATGTGTTAAAGGTCTCAAGCAATACTGATAAACCCATCACAACATTCACAGAAACCCAATTACAACGTGATTATCGAACCCGCCTTTCAACGGCCCTCTTTGAGGCGGGACTTTTGAATACGAACTATGCACGGAATCTCCTTTCCCAGGTGTCTCTACTTCGTCCAGTTCCGCTGCTGTTGCAAGTTTCACCAAATGAACCCCCTTCACGTCCATCAAGAAGACCTCCAGCTTTACTGCCAAAGTCTGACATTTTCCATAATAAGCCAGAAGCCTAGTGAATCTATTTAATTACCTGTTTGTCTGACCATCATAATTATTATAGTGTTAGAAATGCGTTTATCTAACCTTAACGAAAGGACGTCGAACTTAAGATGTATGTGTTTATCAGTTGGTTTTACATCGTGGAACCTTCTAAAAATCATTCCCAATTATTTTAGGTTTATTTGAGGTATGAAAAGGCCCTGGCATGCTTAGGGCAGTTAAAATCGGTTAATTTGTGTCGCAATGTGCAAGCAGCACTAATTCTAAGTTACAAAATCAAAAGTTTGGCTTTTTAATAATTGAAGAAGTTTTACTACCCCAAATTACTAAACACTTAAAGGTCTGAGAATTTGTGCAAGAAAACGCAACACCTCCGAGTACCTATTAGGTGTGTTTAATTTGTAGTCTGTATTACTATGGTAAGGGAAATGGTTAGGCTAGGAAGCATTAACATTGCCATTATTTTTCTTTGATAAAAAATTTGGAACTAGCTTACACCTATTTCAACATTAGAGGGCAAAATACCAATAATTTTGGCCCTTTTTGGGGTTTCTTGATAACTTATCCATTTTACATATTTGTAGCTGTAATTGAAACCGGAAAATCTCTTACAATCTTATTTTATTCAGGTATTTCAATACATTGGGTTTGGCAGGGTAGGTTTCTTAAATCCAAAGAAATTTTTTGCAAAATGCTTAAACGCGTTTAGCAAAAATGGTTTGGTAAAAAGCAGTATTGTGCTGCCTCTAGTTCCTGACTTATACGCTTTTTAACACATCTATAATTTAAGACTTTACTAAGCAAATTTGGCCTTGAAGGCTACCTGCTTATAATTGCCGGCCAATTAGGAATCAGCACTTCTATTATTCGGTGGTAAATCTCTGCCGCACACAGAAGCGCGGTTTGCGTATTCCTCGTCTAAGGTTAATTTAAGTAAAGCATATTGGAAAATCAGCTTTTTATATGCTCACGTGAGCCTACTTTAACTTTATGAGTCATTTACCAAATTGCTTAGTTAATAATTTTCCTCTAATAATTTTGCTTAACATTGCGAACCTAAGAGCATTGTTGTTACCGCTTTCCCATTTATAATGTCCCAACCCATTGCATTCACTGCAGTCAAGAATGGGTGTCGTAGGAAACTATGCTTATTTTCAGACCTCTAAATGGAATCTATAACGGAACCACAAAATGCAAATGAGACTTCCGCTGGTAGCTTGGGTCTGGGAGCCGCCCTCGCAGTCGCCTATGATTTGACAGAGGACCCGAATTTCTCTCAACCCAGCTACGTCCATCCCGAGACCACCAGTGTGCCTCTAGCCTCCGCGGCTCCCCAATCCGGAGTTATAGTTCTTTCAAAAAATCCCTATCATCCCACTTTCTCTGCCCAGGCTCAACCCGTCCGATATCATGCCGGTGATCCCTACTGGGCCGTTTCTGGCTGTCCACAGCCACTGCAGCAGCATCAACAGCAACAGATTTCTGTGACTTCCACAGCTGCTATTCCGATGACGGCCTACCTCAATCCCATTCCCGTCTCATCCCCTACTAGCTGTCCTCGTGGTCCAGAAAGTGGATCTTTTTTCCTTCAATCTGTTTCTCAACCTCCTCCTTCCACTTCTGCTGCTACCCTAGCGCCTTCTACGGCTGATCCCATTGGCTATGTAGACGGCGGTCCGGCTAGTGAGTCCACCATGTCCACGGATTCAATGGTGTCAGTGCGCTCGGACACTATTCCCACCTATCCACCTACATCTGAGATTGGATACACGATAAAAACTGTTTCTCAGGCTCCTGTTATGCCCAACGCCGGTCATCACAGTGGCATCAACAGCCTTAACAACACCACTACCTCTTCCACTCCAAACAGTCGACGGCATGAAGACCAGAGACAGGCAGCTGTTCCTTCATCTGGTTCAGATGACGGATTGTATGAATTATCAGAGGAGGATGTCAAGGAGATCGATGACATGGTAATGCGCATATTTTACTTTCAGGATTATCAATTTCGAGGAAATAAATGCGCTGCACTGTCTGCTGCCCTATTGATTCATTGGACTTCGTAAATGAGCCCTTCAGCTCTCTCTTGTTTAGTCTGCTTAATTTACCATGTTTGCACACACACACGCAGGCAAAGTGACGTCATTCCCTTGTGCACACTTTTGTAGCGGTGGTTTGATTTTTGATCGACTTGAAAGACGGAGAACAATTTCGTTACTTCCTTTTCGGCTGTTTCCTTTCCACTCGTAACATCTACTGCCTGATCTTATTTACCTGGTACACTTTCAAGAGATTAGTGCTACTAATTAATGCAAATTTATTGTCGCCTAATTTGCCTAATTTAGCTGTGCTTTGATGTAGTTCAACTCCTCGACTCTGTCTATTTATTTTGAACTCTTCGACATTTGTGTACTTTCAGCTGTTCCTACTTAGTTCGTCGACGCACACACCCTCCATTTTTTTTGCTGATCACTTATTCTTTACCAGCAATTCTGGAAGCTAAGCGACTGAAAAATGGAAAGATTCTGCAAAAGAAGAGTAAAGGAAAAGCAGTCTGAGGAGCCAATTGTCTGATCGTGGCTTCTCTGGGGCGGTAGTCGTTGTAACATCCTGTGCACTGTTAAAATTGGTTCATTCACTTCTCTTGACGGAAAAGAGGGAAATACGAAAAGTTTGTTGCTGTTGGTGTTGATGTGTGCAACTCAGTTTATGCGTGTTGTTATGACAACACCGCCGAAGTTGTGAATGCTAATTAGCACCCAACCAAGCGCATTGATTAGGAGGTGGCCAGAAGTTGAATGGTGTCTCCGGTCTTTATTTGTGTACTTAACTTCCTTTTCTGCCTTCTCCTTCCTTTCTTGCCTTCTTTCCTTCTTTTGAAGGCTTATTACGGCTCCTCTTCCCTCCTCTTCTTTCTCACCTCTGTGTGGGATTCAATACGCCTGAAGTGGGGCTCTATCCCATCATAACGGAAAAGACCAAATCTTGTCCTTTGTTTCGCTTTTTTTCCTACATTCTGATGCACATACAGTCCCGGTTCTCTTTTTCCCCCTCTTCTTTTTTTGTTTTTTACTTCACTTTTTTATTCTATTCCAGTCGCTGCACATTGCTAGCGTCCTTCGTGTACTTATCTGTTGGCTTTGGATTGAAAATAAAGAGACAGTGGATTCTTCACGCTGTGGCAGTGTCTTGCGAACACGGAATTTTTTTGTTATTCCTCTGAAGTGAAATTACTAACCAACTTTTCTGCTAATAACTGATGGGGAATTTTCGGCAAATCTTTTTCGTTGATTGTTGGGTGTAACTGGTGTGTTTCTATTAGCTATTTGCTGGTTGGGTCAAAGTTCGATGCAATCGATTGTTGATTGTTACTGTTGTTTGAAAATCGGTGGAGGACTTATCAAGTATCCGTAATGAATCAATTTAGACAAGACTGTCATCTCGTTTCCTCACCTTGAAAGTGAATGACCGGTTGATAATCGATCAAACTTGTCAATCTCTTCCTGTCAAAGTGGCAAATAACTGAAACACTATCAACTTGCGTTGACTTATTCTGTGGTTGAGGAGGCAATGAAAGGCAGGCGTTTGGAGTCATCTAAGGTGAGAATAAAGGCAGGGCAATTACATCGGTGGTGTGGAACTATAACAGCCAATCGGATTAAAAAGTTTTTATTTTCATATGAACATTTGACTGTGACGCTCACTATGCTGAAATTGGTGGCCGTGCTAATTAATTTGCCTTTTGTGTCATGTGCTTAACCTCTGGCACCAAGAGTATAGTCATTCCTGCATCCACCCACCCATTCACTTATCCGGTTACCAGCACCTTTGTTGACGTGATCTTGTCATGCCACCTAGGTGTATCAATTTTTCTGTGGCTGTAGTTTTTGCCGTTTAATTTATCTTTTTGTATCCTGTTTCGTCATGTCGCCAATTTTGGCACGCTCGTATCTCACCAACTGTTTTGGTCTACCACCTTGAAGACAATGACTTGTCATTTAGTCGTTTCCAAATCTGCTTGATGTTGGGGACAATCTCATTTCCTCCTCTTCTCATTCTCCCTTTCGGAACAGTTTTTCCCATCGGCACTTGCTTGACTTGTTGAGAAAAGTCGATAGTTTTCGTCCTTTAAAAAATGTCTTTTGTGAAATTTTACCCTCTTTTACCCCTTCCGCAAATTCAGCGTTTTGATTGGCTCATTTATGTCCAATTTTCCTACCTTATAAAGTCGATAACAAACCGGATTGCTTTCTTCTGAAGTTTAACGTGACACCAGTAGGACATTTTCCTATGTAGGCCCTCTCTCTAGACTTTGTTGTCATGGTCGTCGTCGTCCATAATTCAAGGCGTGGCAGATGTGCTCCGATGGCATATGGCGCCTGTCGAGGTTTGCTGCTGTCTTTGTAACCACCAAAATGTCAAGATGTAGGGAAGTGGGAGGGATGGGAATTGGGGTTTCTAACCATTTGCCGAAGTCGTCTCGACACCCTCTCGTGTATGTAAAAAAAATTTTTCACCTGTCATTGAGTAGTGTATTGCTATTTTCTCCTCCCTTTTTCTTTCGAAGATCATCTCTACGTTGTCGTCAACTTGTTCATAATTTAGGATAGATAGCAGATGTTTTAACTACCCTACTGTCTGCCGCCTTTCTTTAAGTAGGCGCTTGAGAAGCCTCCACCCACTGAACGAGTAATGAAGGCGCCTCTGTCGGTTAAATGACCCTTTGGCACTGTTATTCCATCCATTTTGTGTTAATTTTTTGATAAAAATTTCGCAAACTTTGCTTAAATGAACATTTTTTTCTATCGATTGATTAGTTCGATTGATTTATGGATCGATCGATCAATCGGCGCCTAGTTGCATCCGTTCTTGGCATTTTGATTGGTTTGCTGAGGGTCATGCAAACTTTGACTGACATCTCAATGTAGCCCCTCACTGGGGGGAACATTTTCTCCTCTAATTTGTTTATTTGGCCTGTTTTTTTGTCCACCATTTCTTATCCATCTGGATGGACTTACGACTGGTGGATTATTTTACCAGACAAATGTCACTTAGAGTGTTCAGGTTTTGGGTATTTTTGTAAGTGAGTGACCATTTTTTGCCTCCTTTTTATTTTAAATCTTCGGATTTTTCGAATTTTGCGGCTTTTGATCGATTAGCTGACTGAGCGAGTGATCGGATAGACTCTTCAGACTAGTTTATGCCAATCTTGTCAAATTTGATTGAGTTTTAAAAGCCGGAGAGTGACTTTTACGCAAAGGGGGCAGTCTTTGGTGTGCCTAATTTTCTGTATTTTTTTCTTTCTCGTCTTTGTCTAGCCTTTTCATTGGAAATATTCATTTGAAAAATCCCGGGTTTCCATTGATTGGTTTCTGATCAATTTTTCTCGGAGCCTCCAGACTTCCGAAGTGTGGAAGGTTCGCTCCAGTGGCCTTGGCCTCACGATCACCACAGCTACTGATCTGTCTACCACTGACTAAAATTATTTGAAAAAGAAAAAAAATTGTGAAATATCGATGACACTTGGCTTAGATGAGAAAATTGGGGCGTTACGTATAGGTGGTACATGTCCTAATACTTTGCCATCTCAGATCAACTAGCCTGTAAACCGCAAAGAAGTTGTTAAATTTCCCTCAACTAGGCTGATCAACTGATTATGTGGCACAATTTCCACCACTACTCCTCCGATTAGAATCCCTCCTGATGGTAGCCACCTTCCACCTTGTTCATTTCAGCTCACCCAAAATCCCCAGGTGACGTCCAGTCGACACTGGAAGTACTACGTCGAAACGAATGAGTGGACTCGGGCCACATGCGCTCTAATGGCTTGCCTTTTTTCTCGCGATCAGATGGCCAATTCCACCGTGCTGGGTCGTGGTGGCTCCCAGCGCGAACGTCTGCCCACAAACCTTGTCGCCTACGTTGTCAGTAAGTCAAAGAAAGTGGTTCTTTTCAAGCCACCCTGTCTGTTGTAAGATGTGAGTGCTGGCATTTTTGTACTCCTTTTCCTCATCCTCCTCCTCATCTTTGTGACAGGCTGAAGTTAATTAAAAGTGACAGGTATTTTCTCCTCCATGGTCTTGGATGAGGGAGGGGCCCACACTTTAATTTGTGGATAGGGCAATAGTAGCTTCTGCTCCTGCTGCTTCTGTGGCTGCTACTTCTGATGCTGTTCTTTTGAACTCACTTCAGTAGCGTTTATTCTCCAATCATTCAATCGACTTACGTAGCACAGAAAGCCGCCCCTTCTGATTGGTTGAAAGGGGAAGCACTTCTTGAATTGAAGAATTTTTTGACAAGGGCACCTAAAAACGGTACAAAGTGACTTGTTTAGTTGTCGCGTTGGAAAGTCTCCAAATTAGAAGGTTTCCTTTTTAACTGAAATTCGCCTGTTTTGATTGGTTGAAAGTAACCGAATTTATTATGCTATCCACTGTTCTATGCTTATGGAGGAAAATTGTCCTTTTTAAATTGATGTAACTTATTTACTTCCTAGTAGAGGAAATTAAGTGCTAAAGATTGTACAGGTATCGTCAATTTCAACCTAAAATACGTTTCAGATCTTTGTGCTGCGCGTCTAAGAGCAGCCAATTTGATTGGTTAAGGAGTGCTGTCTTTCATTTCTGCGTAATTACGTAATCTGAAAACTGACGACTTTTATGTCACAAATTTTGATAATAAGCTCCCAAGAAAGGAAATTGGATCGGTGCTCGAATTCCACCCGAAAGATGTTCAAATGTTCGTTATTTTGTACTGAAATTTGGCAATTCTGGCTGCCTGGGTAAGATTATCTCTCCTTTCTACCGCATCCCCCTTTCCTTTTTCATTTATAAGATCTGCCTGAATGAAGCCTTAGAAAGCGGGATAGAGTTTCCGAAGAGCTGAATGATATTAAAGGAAACACTGTACCTGTAACTGAACTTGCTCATTGAAGTGGGCTTTCAATCCTGCATGATTTGGAGAGAGTATCGTCTTGTCGATTCTCGTCGTCATGGCATGAAAAGGATACGCCCTTGTTTTAATCCGGTGGGTTATTCCATAGACCAGTTAGCTCACCCAAGGTGTTATTGGATCAACTTGACGGGTTTTTCCCTTCTATTACATCATCTACCAACTGCTTGACCTCTATAGCATAAATGGAACTGCAACCTTTTAATTGTCATTACCGAGACGTTCTATTTTTCTTATTTGATCCCAACGTCACAAATATGTGACATTCGGGACGCGATAACCATATGTCGCGGTCAGATTGGTGGATGCATGTAGGATGTCCTATTAGTCTTAAACTAAGTGCATTTTCCTGATTTTTAACCATCGGTCAAAGTGTCAGCGACATCTCATTGCCAACTTGCCACGACGCCAGTCCACTACACACTTCAAATCGCCACCTAGGTGCTTTGAGTTCAACAACCGGTACATCCCATCGTATGCCCTGCCATTAAACGGCCATTTTGGCCATTCTCCTCGGCTCACAGTGGATGACAATCAGCCTCTCCATCCCTTCATTCATCATAAAACCAGGTCATTGCCCAGGCTGATTCGGGGAGGGGGGGTGGCGTTGAAAGCTTTGGAGAAGCGAATGGATCTTGGTCACGCAGCCTCTAGTCATGTTGGTCGCCAACTCAGTAGCTGAACCTATTTTAAAAAAAGATCTCTCGTTGAATCAGTTGAGGTCTACAGCACTTAATGAATTCATTTAGCCGCTTGAGGTAAGCGGAAGTCCTCTTCTTGAACCCTCATGTCATTGGGATGTGGAAGTGCTTTCTTCCAGCTCAAGTAAACTTGTAAATCATCCAATTTGACAGTTATTTGTAAGTCACCCTAGGTGCGATTCTCCCTTCAGTTCAATGACAGTGGGACGAATTCAACTGTTAAGCGAAAGTAGTCTTTCTAACACGTTCACTTCCAGGGTCTCGGAAGCAGATTGGTTACCATATCTGCTTTATTTCTTTAAACTCCACCAATCGGTGTATGACGCATGGTCTAAGGCAACTGGTCACCACAAAGTAGCCATGGGAACACGTGGGATACGCGTGAAACCGGACGTCAGGCGAGAAAACCGGGGCGTCACGTATGTGTGACGCCAGGGGGAAATATGATAATCTGGCTGTGTCGACCCCTTTCCCAGAGAGAATCTTTTTTCCCTCCACAAATCCGCTGATCCGTCGAGGGTGCCCTCAATCCTAACCTACTACCCTTCCTTTTCCAGCCAAAATGCGTCGTCGATTCAACAAATCAGCAGCAGCAGTTCGAGCTCGGATGGCGCAGAAATGCAAAGACGAGCGTCGTTTTGGTCGCGTTCTTCCCTCTGGCACGATTGCAACGAATCCCGATCGATCGCACCCAAGTTCTTCCTCTGCCACCGGCGCTGCCTCCTCCTCTTCCACAATCACCGCTTCCACTTCCTCCACCACATCGGGTAACAGCTCCAGACAGTCTACACTGAATCGTCGTCGGAGTGCCGCTTATGCTGCTGCAAGTGCACCGCTAGCGAAGAGTCCGCGACTTTCGCTAGCTCCGCAGCCTCCGCTACCACCACCACTGCCGTCAGTAGCACCGATACAACTAGCTCCGACATCAACTATGCTCACATCTCTTCCTTCAGAGGCGTACGCGCCGCCGTCAGCAGTCAATTCTGCGCCGGCAACAGCTTCTGTCGTTCACGATCCACCTGTCATTCTAGCCTCAGCACCTGAGATGGCAAGCTGATTGACAGTGGACACTCCTGTGGTTTTTTAGAAAGAGCAAAGAAAAACTTCGGTGCTAACGGTTTCGTGTTTCTCGCCTCTCCCACCTCTTCCATCTCCGCCACCACCGCATTGCTTTCAACTACACCGTCCAGTTGTCTTCCTTTGGCACCACTACAACCAGCAACAGGAACTGCTTGATTGAATTTATCACCCTGTCAGTCTGCTGATAGTAAGCGGGATCTCTAAAGCAACCGGCGTTATTGCACATTCCTTTGCACAAAATCTATTTCCCTTTGAAGAGAATAATGGTAGGAACATGCTTCTCCTTCCCCTCCCCCCTTATCTACCTGCTCCTCTCTCTTGGCCGCCTTTTTTTACTGTTTGAGTGTTTTTAATGTCGTATTTCACAGTAACGAAGACTAAGCAAAAATGCTGAAGATAATGATGAAATGAAGCAAGGAAAGTAAAATGAGAAAGTGAAGCGTGAACTCTAGGTTGTGTTTCCTTTCCTAATTACGTACCCCGCCCTCTCCACTTTGTCCTTTCTATCCCATCTTACTTTATTCCTCTTCTGAAAATTTTCTGCTCGCACGAACACTCAAACATGAATACACAAAACACCTTCCGGCCTTACTTTTCTTTAAGTCATTTTGTGCTGATAATCGGTATTTTGTTGCTACAATCGACTACAAAACAAAGCCTCTTTGCACTACACTCGTGTTTCTCTTCTCTCTTCTTTTTCCCTGTTTTTTTTGTCTGTTCGATGAAATAATCATATTATGGATTTTGGGATGGGGCAAGGCTACTTTGGTGGGATTTTACTGCCTTGCAGACCAATCAGATTACGACCCTGAGAGTTGAAAGAGGTCAAATTGAGAATTGATTTGATTCACTAGTACTGTTTGCCACCTTACCCACCAGTCAGATGGTATTCGTGGGATTACATGCGTCAGCTTTTTGAGATTTGTGTTGTTTTAAAGTATTCGGGCAGTTTACTACAGTTTCGCCATCCTGTGGACCAATCGTATTGCCACCTTGGGCTGATAAGTAATGAGGTGTTTGCCTCTGTCGATTCACAAATTAATTGCAACCAACTTGAGGAGTTAATTCGGATCTTTAAATGATCGGCCGGTTCAGTAGCTGTGTTAATCAAATGGGGAGGGTCTAGTTAAATGTCACTTTCTGTCAATTCTGAACTCCTAAAGTGCTCCAATTTTTGTAGTAACAGCCCAGTTTCAGTCAACTTTTTTCATCTTTCCAACCAGCTAAATCATATTCTGAAGGGGAGGGTCATTCGGAGATTGTACTAATTCGCTTGTCGACTTAAATGCTTCCCAGTCAGGCCATTTAAATTGTGACCCTGAGGTCGATTTGGTTTGATTTAAAAATAACCACAGGAATTTGATTGGCTACATGACTGCTTGTAGTTTCTCCCATGTTTCTTTAAATTGTTCCCTTTTCTGTCAATGAACTACCTAAGTGTAAGTTGCCTTTCTCGCCATTATACCCTATTCATTTATGATTAGACCCCCAGAATTGACAGGTCGTTTCGATATTTTGCTTTTTAATGCTTTTTAACAATTGGCTACGAAACAAACATCCCCTGATTCAATCAGATAGTCGCTTTAGAGGAGAACGAGGAAGAATGAGCAGGAGAGGTGGGCATCCCTTCCATTAGACAATTCTGAAGAGGTACCTTGTCAATGCCACTTTTCGGTGGATAAGAGTTAAACTACACTCCCAGGGTGAAGGTAGGTGGGTAGGGCGGTGGGTAGATGTCTCACTTGGCGATGCAACGACTGATAGAAATCCGCCGAAGTGGACTTTACTTGCTGAATCACAACTGAAAGTAGGTAGGTTGTTGGTGAGTCATCGCCTCCTTAATCGTCGATTTCCCAAATGCAACTCCTGAGGTGTAGTGTCATCACCTCCTCCCATAAATGGGCTTCTTGATCACACAAATTACTGTCTCTCTCCTGTCACCTGGCAGAGGTGAAGCTTGAGTGATTGCTCCTTCGGATTCCTTTTCCCCCTCCCCTCCTCCCTCCGCCCCATTTGTTTGCCTGCATCGTCCTCTATTCCAATGAGTATGCATAATGTCGTGGTTAAAAAGGTAGTTTGATCATTCACCGCTGGAGTGTGTTTGTGTGTGCGTGTGATGTGAGAAAGAAACCCAGCTAAATGGAGGCACAGGTGTGTTAGTGCATGAACTGGGTGGATACACATGAACGTATACAGGTAAAGTACACAAAGAAGTCTTAGTGGAGAGAGTTTATCCCGTACTTCACCTTCTCCTTCTGACACCAGCATCGTTCTACGTCATCACGTCACTTGTCTAGCACCAAGTTAGATAGGATTCAGCTCCCTTTTCTCCTTTTTTCCCCCAGTCCCTGTCTCTCCTAGTGTAATACTTGCCACGGTTTAAGTAACTCGCTTTAAGGCTCTAACGATGACGATGTAAAGTCACTTGGTGTGGTTGAAGAGTCAGACACACACACACACACTGCCTTGGATGTCGTCTCAGAAGACAAGAATAGCTTGCGTATACAAGTGTATGTGTATATGCGTGGGATGATTGACGGCATGTTCTTACGTGGCACCAAGTTATTCGAAATGAGAACGCATGTGCACCACACACACACACACACACACACACACCGAGAGAGAGAGAGTTGTGCACACCGTAGACGTGTTGCAGCCTGCGCAACCCTCCAATGTATGTGTGAGCGTGTGTGTGCGCGTTTGTCTCTGCGTGTGGGTGTTTGTGCAACTAAGCAAACGTTGTTTTAAAGAGCGTAAAACATTGCAAAGTAGGGAGTAGGAAAAAAAAAATGACCCCATTTTTTAAGAAATAAAAAATTGTTCTGAATCAGGGAAAGCAAAACTTGTGTGCATAAAGGTGTGGTAGATGAAGAGTTATTATGAAATTGTCAAATTATTGTTCGATCATTTGTTGTCAAATGTGTGTGACAAATCGGTTGATTT